ACTTCCGATCTATTAAAAATATGTCAATGAACCCTCTTAAAAATCAAAAGCCAAACATGAGATATTTTATTGTTCTCAGTTACATAGATCTTTTTAATACAGTGGACCCTCAGATATCCGGACGCCAGATATCCGGACGCTTCACCTTCCGGACGAATTTTCTTGGGAACACATTTTTTTTTTTACGTTATTCTGGCTCATTTATCCGGAATTCCGCGTTCCGTATCCGGACGGTCTTTTTTTTACTACAAAATGCATTTTTACGTTATATTTTGGTTCATTTATCCGGACGGTAAATTTTAATTTGTACGCCCATTGTTGTCAACATTCCTGGCTGAGCTGAGTGTTAATTGTTATAAAAACACTAGCTGGTCTGGTTGTTTTTATAAGACGATCACCTGTGACCTGTTATGATTTTAGACTAAGTCGATATCGAAACGTCACTATAGACATGAGAGACACACAATACACGAGAGATACACAAGTGAAATTAAATTACATGTACATGTACTGTGTTGGTAACAGAAAATAATTTTCTCTTCAGTTATTAGTTATCGGAAAGATATTTACAATCTGAGTACAGAACCTAATATTTCTATTTATAGACATGACGACGGAGTTTCATAATGTCGTTCTCTACACACAAAATACACATCGGTATTTTAATTTTAAGCTTAAATCTTTTAATTTGGTGACAGTTATTACAAAAAAAAATCACATTAAATCAAATTTGAATCCAGTTCACACAATCACTTAAATTATGTGATTTCGCTTGGGATGTAGTTAATGTCTGATTTAGCGTGGATGAGTGTTCAAATTAAAATCGACTCTATACTGACAGCTCGCTTGGGTAGAATCAAAGCTGTAAGATAGAACTGGCTTGGCTAAGTTTCAATTATTAGGAAATAGCAGGCAAAAATTAGCTTGGGCAATTACATGTATAAATATGGCCATATAAGCAGCGTTATTTCCAATGTTGGTCATCACTTGCTCTCCAGCTACAATCATGTCTACACCGCCGGCCAAGAGAGCGCGAGTCGGCATTTCTGCAAGCTTGAAAAAAAAAAATATGCCAACGCAAAGTAGATCATCCACAATCTACTCTACTAGATTTAAGGCAGTTCATCATTGACGAGGAGTCCATAAACATAGGTATTTTTAAAATCTAAATTTTCTTTACTTAGTCAATTTTTGTCTTTTTTTTCTTTTTTCAATTTTTAATTAATTTTTAACTTAATTGATTGCAGTTTTGCTGAAGCCCTAAGTTGAGTTTCATAAGAAGGTATGGAAAAACATCAATTAATCTTCACATCTAAAAATTACATATTTTGTTGATTTATGATATGTTATGATTGATATAATTTTTTTTTTCAGGAAAGTCCACCATTGGTGATATCATTAAAGATAAAGACAAGTGGCTAGCTGTTCCAGCTGATTGTGAAGGCCTAACAAAGTCAAGGAATCCAAAGCATCAGCAACTAGATGACGCCCTCTATCTGTGGTTTACGGACATGTCAGCACATCATGCAGCAATCAACGATGAGATGCTTATTACAAAAGCCAGACAACTGGGTGAACAGCTTGGAGTAACAGATTTCAGCTATTCAAGAGGCTACCTTCACAGATTCAAGAGTCGACGTGGTATAAAGAGAAAACTCTACGAAGATGAAGCTGACAGTGCAGATATGACGGCTGTGCAGACAGGACGACAAGATCTTCAGCGTGTTCTTCAAGACTACGACCCGGAGGACATATTCAATCTGGACGAAACTGGACTGTTTTACAGACTTGGACCCAACTACACCTTAGCAACAAAGAAAGTGAGTGGTACCAAGAAATCCAAGGACAGAATTACAGTTGCCCTTGCCACCAATGCAACAGGAACAACAAAGATCAAGCCTTTTGTCATCACTAAAGTGAATCGTCCACGGTGTTTTGGGAAGACGTACAATCCGGAGACTTACGTGAGATACAGATACAACGCAAAGGCTTGGATGACGTCAGACCTATTCAAGGAGTGGCTGAAAGACTTCGACCGTCAGATGAGACTTGCAAGAAGAAATGTGATTTTGCTTGTGGACAACGCTGCCAGTCATAGTCAAGGGGATATTCTGCTGAGGAATGTGACACTTCATTTCCTGCCTCCGAACACCACTGCCCACATACAGCCTATGGACGCTGGAATAATCAAAGCCTTCAAAGCTCACTACAGGAAACAGCTGGTACAGCACTACATTGAGCGTGTGGAGAAGAAAGAAGAACAAAGTGTGAATCTACGAGAGGCCCTGCACATGGTGAAAAGAGCATGGGATAGTGTTAAAGTTTCTACCATTGTGAATTGTTACCGACATGTAAAGATCTTGCCTTCCAAGGATGATTCAGATGAAGATGACGATGTTCCACTTTCTCGCCTTCAGTGCCACACAGATGAAGATGAGGATGACATTCCGTTGCTTCAGCTTCAGAAGAAGATGCGTGAACTGCCAGAGACCTGCGCGATGACAGCAGAGGAGTATGTTAGTGTGGATGCAGAGGAAGAAACTGGACAACATCTAACTGATGATGACATTATGACACTTGTTTAACGAGAAGAAGTTCCTGAGGCTGCAGAAAAGGATGATGATGATGAAGAAGAAGCATGCAAAGATGTGAACCCTTCTCAAGCTTCAGGAGGCATCAGGATGGCCATCAGTTTTTTTTAACAGACATCAAGAAGCCCCACATCAATTGACATGGAGAAAAAGCGAGCCTACCTTGACCAACTATGGGAAATGTTAGACGCCATTACCTACTGCCAAGCCAAGGAAGCACAACAGAAGAAGATGACCGACTTCTTCAAGCAGTAAAAAGTGAAAAAATGTGTTCATAGTGCTTTTGAAATTTCAGTTGCTTATTACATTGTACAATATTAATGCGGAGCAGTGCATATGTACTACAGTTATAGATTTACAGATTTTTTATTAGTTGTATTGTGTAGTTTTGTTATTTAATAGTGCTTAGTTTTTAGTTTTAGAAATGTTTATTTTATTTGAAAATGTGTTATAAAGTAGTGCTGATGTATATTTTAGATGTAGTCTATAAAATAATAAAACATTATTTCAATTTGTCAGCATTTTTCTTTACCTATATTGATATGAATGGCTATTACATGTATACTATTACACTATAATTATACTGGTAGAAGAAATCAATACATTTCAGATATCCGGACGCTTCACTTATCCGGACATTTTGACTGGGAACCTAAGCGTCCGGATAAATGAGGCTCCACTGTACTCCTATTTTTCCCAATTGTCCTGTCTTGCCATCAGTAGGTCTCCTTACTTAAAAAATACATAAACGCACTTGAAGTAATGAAATTTTTCAAATAAATTATTGAAAAGGTAGTCCTAGATGTGTAAATGTATGAAATAGTTTTAATTCTTAATTATAAATAAAGGAAATTAGAATTGATGATGATTCAAACTCTGGTCTAAAAACTGTCAAAAATTTTGAAATCAAATAAACAAGTGAAAAGATAATTCGATAGATGATAGACGACAACAGTGAACCTGTAACAATCACTGCTCTTTTCTTGCATTATTTGCTTACTGTACAAAGCAGCTGGGTTTGTCAAAACTTACTCGTGCTTTTTATAAATCTTTCGATTTAAGAGAAAAGAATCATGAATAATATGTATGATTTTGACTCAATGTGTCGGAGTTGCTTGCCATGATTTTTTCCCTGATATATATAACTTAGGGTAATAGAAATGGATCGCAATTCTTTTATATGTTAAAGAACACGGCGAAATAAACCCAACAAAAAAACCGCATCGAAATCGATGCACGATTAACGGAGTTATTGTCCTTTGAAAGCGTCTATTTTTACCTGTTATGAAAATCCAATCAAGCGAAAATCGAATCGATCGATAACGAGGCTCTATCGCCGTGACGTCACAACATGGAGTGATTAGGCGGGTTAGTATGGATGATAATGAGATTAACTCCGACAACAACGACGATATTAGCCTTGATATGTCAGATGGGTCTTCAACTTTTGATGAATCAGATGAAATAACTGTAGAGCTTGGTATAAGACCTTACCAGTTTGAACCAGAACCGATTCTGACGAGGAATTAGTAGTTCAAAACAACCCACAGCCTAGCCAAGACAAGCGCTTGGGGAATACTGACTGGTTAGAAAATAGCATATTTTTCAATCAAATGGCTTAAATATGACAAGTTTAGGCAAATACAGAGTTACTTAACGTATAAGACACAAAAATTGTCTAATTTAATTGGTTGAACCATGGACATTATCGCTGAAAAGTGACAGTCTACATACTCTTGGTTAGTAACTAGACCTAGCAAATTTTCAAAAATCACACACGAAATAAAGCTATGATAAACCCCTTAAAAGTTATGTTGGCTAAATTTTAGGCAAATATTTTATAGATTTTTTTTATGTTGGATCTATGTAGAATTGTTTGAATGCACACTGATCATTTTCTCATATTTAGAATTCATGGAACTACACTGTATATACTGCAGTTTCTATACCACAAATTATAACCATAATTTTTTTTTGTTGGGTTTATTTCGCCGTGTTCTTTAACATATAAAAGAATTGCGATCCATTTCTGTTACCCTAATCAATTTCTATTGCATTTCTCCATTCTTTTTCAATCCCCTTAAGTTGTTGCAAAACGATTCATCATTCCTCTTAAATTCATGGACGTTCAACAGTGTGTAAAGTATAAATGAGCTCAATGTCTTCAAATTTAAGGAATGCATGGTTGTACTGCAGTTCTTATTATAAGGTGTCTCTAGATCTGCGTTTGTTTTTGCACAATGAGGATTCGTGCCAATGTGAACGATATAAGCTGGAATTGTCCTATCATTGGTTAAATCAAAGTTTATAGAATAATATTTAGAAATTGCTTTTAAACGTACATGGTTTTTAAATGGTTATTTTATTTGAGTCTTAAACAAAAGTCTTTAAAAGTAAAAGATCAGTAGATACATGTAAATGATTTATTTCAAATAATTATTCCCCTTCATAAGTCTGTGATTAGAAGAACAGAAAATAGATTATATGAGCCGTGGTCGTGGAGCTTTGCTGCCTTCGTATTATCATTCTGTATCCAGACTCTATCTCCTTTATTGAGTAGAAGGTGCATAATTTGTCCAGATTGTGGAAATGTCTTTGAAGCAGAGTATAACTTGGACATCTTCTTCCCATTTTTTACAATCTTCAAAAGCACATCATTAGTTGAATGACTCATGAGTGTACACGATATGGTGTACAGACCATCATAGGGGGCAGTAAATATTCCAGACCTTGGGTTGTAGGTTCCGCCCCAATTCGTTAAGACTTGATCATACTTGACAACGTCGTGACCTCTGATTAACGTATCCTTGGAGAGCTTTGCAGTAAATGCAACCACTGGTTTTCTGCATGCTGGAAATTTAAAAGTCTAAATGAGGTTTTTCATGAACATCTTCTGTTTTAATATAACAATCAATAATTGTACCAGCCACTTTGAAAAACGAAATGGACCCAGGGTTGAATTTCGCAAAACAATCTTAAGATTTGTTCTAAGACAGATCTTAAGAACATCTTTAGATCTGACTTTTGACAATCATAAGATATATCATTGCCGTTCACAAAACAATCTTCAAATATGTTTTTACGAAATTAATTAGCCTTTCTTTAATGAATTTTAATATTTGAAAAAATAGTGAACCTTAAATAATTTTCCTATACTCTCGGAAAATGCATTTTGAATAAAATTTGCACAAATGCTTTTCTGCTTAGAAAAATAAAGATTGGTGACAAAATAAAACAAGAGGCCCATGGGCCAATCGCTCACCTGAACACTGTGGCTAGGAAAAAAGCAAAAATTAGTTGAACATTGAAAAGCTTAAATGCATAAGTGGTCCCGATCTACCCCTAAAAAGACGGGGGTATGATTTGAATAAAATTGAATCTAAACTAACTACTTATAAGGATGCTTATATCTTCCTTTGACTAAACCTTAACCCTGGCTTTTTTCCTGCAAGTTTTAACTTTCATTGTGGCCCCACTCTACCCCTGGGGGTCATGATTTGATCAAACTTGAATCTACACTATCTGAGGGTGCTTTCATATAAATATGACCAATCATGGCTTTGCTTTTCTTGAGAAGAAGATTTTAAAGATTTTTCCTATATATTCCTATGTAAAACTTTGATCGTCCATTGTGGCTCCAACCTGTCCCCGGGGTTCATGATTTGAACTTGAATCTGTACTATCTGAGGATGCTTTCATATAAATATCATGGCTTTGTTGTTCTTGAGAAGATTTTTGAATATTTTTCCTATGAACTCCTTTGATCGTCCATTGTGGCCCCACTCTACCTTCGGGGGTCAAGATTTGAACAAACTTGAATCTACACCACCTGAGGATACTTCCATATAAATATGACCGATCATAGCTTTGCTGTTCTTGAGAAAAAGATTTTTCTCAGATTTCTCCTATATATTCCTTTGTAAAACTTTGATCGTCCATTGTGACCCCACCCTCCCCCCGGGGGTATGATTTAAAAAAAAATGAATCTACTCTACCTGATGATGATTCCACATGAGTTTCATTTTTCCTGGACCATGGGTTTTTGAGATGAAGATTTTTAAAAGATGCCATTAATTTTTCACTATTTTGTAATTATCTCCTCTTGGAAGAGGGCGTGGTCCTTCATTTGAACAAATTTGAATCCCCTTCACCCAAGGATACTCTGTGCCAAGATTGGTTGAAATTGGCTCAGTGGTTCTGGATAAAAAATGAAATTGTGAAAAGTTAACGACAACGACGACAGACAACGGACAAATTTCAATCAGAAAAATTCACTTGAGCCTTCGGCTCAGGTGAGCTAAAAAGTTATACAATTTTAAAATGAATCCACTACTGCATCAATTGAGATGAAATTCAGATGTAACACCAATGAGTGTTCAAAGTATCACTGTGTTCATAAATATCTTATAAATATCTCTGAAGTGGCATGCACATCTCAAAACAATTTCAGTTGCATGGGAATGGGGCCCAACCACACAAAAACTCCTCGACGGGCAAAAGAATAATGGGGACAACCATAAAGTAGCTATATTTTCCATCGTATAGTATTTATTGGTAAAATCGGTGGTGGTAGAAAGGGGTGGAGAAAAGTTCAAACGGGCCTGAAATAGTCGGAGGTATTGTTCTAGCTTTATATCTTTCTTATATTGTTTTACAGTTTTCTTCTGAAAATCCCTCTGTTTTGAGCCAAAAGATATACTAACGCCATGTTCACTTTAAGGCAGGTATCTATGATTAAAATAGATCTTGAGATTTTCATAAGATATGAGAGTTTTGTGAAACAACTATGTTGCAATCTTACGATAAATTCTGGTCTTAAGGTAGTCCGATCCTCAGGATCTGAAAATCAGCTTTTAAGAAAATGAAAATGCTCTCAAAATGTCTCTGATTTCACATAGTAACTTGAATTTACTCATGGAATTTCTTCAAAGTTCAACATTATAGTTCATCATATTATATAGGGAAAATTATCAAATTTTAAATATATTTTCAGGAAATGCGAATAAAAACACCAGCTATGCATTTTCGAATTGAAAATTGGTCAACAAATACAATTTAGAATAGAAAAGCATAGGTATCTAGGCATTTGGAGAAAATTGCATCTTTTTTATGCTTGTACAGTATTTTAGTTCTTCTTTTTGCTTCAATTGTCATATAATACACAGTGTAAAAAGCATGTGCTATCATTGCTAGACATCACAGATCACGTTTAATTTCATATCATGCTAATAAGCAATGTTATCCAATCCTAGACAAAAGGAAATTTGACTTCTCTAAAAATAATTTTTTTTTCTTTTATTGGGTACAAGTGTCAACTTTTTTCAAAAGACTGTTTCTAAGACTTCAAAGAACCGTGAATCATATTAAGATGCATAAAATGAAAATTGTTGCACGAAAAGATACCAATTTCAAGCTTCATTTTGAGACCTTTCAAATAAAACTATAAATTTACGACTTATCCTTCCTGGCTGAGGATCGGATATCCTTAAGACAGATCTTAGTCAGAAGATATTTTTGTGAAACGGGCCCCAGTTCTTTTCTTATAGCAATTTGTGGGCAATCCTTTTTCACCAATTTTATTCATATACTAAGAGAAATGCAGTTTACAAGTCTTGTTAATAACCTTTAAACGATATAGAGTTTCTAGATCACAAGATCAGTTGAATTTTATTCAAGATGAAGCTGACATAAAAAACAAGATTTTTTTACTCCAACATTGTATTTGTTGGGGAGGATAAATGCAATGCTCTATATTACCTTTTTTTAAGAAAAAGCATCTTTTTATACAAAGATCTGGTCATTAAGTTGTAGTAAACTACTTACTTGCACAGCGGGTTGAACCCTCACAGAAATTCAGAACCAAAATCAAATAAAACACAACATAATTGGTCTGCATTATTTTGCTGCAATTGGTTCTGGAAAAATTGAAAACTTCAATTATTGATATAATATTAATAATTCTGCGAAGATAAGTTGCTGTTAAATCATTCAGTGTAATATTCTTTTGCCCTTGAACATTCAAGTATTAATTTCTTCACACAACTGTAATTGAAAACACTGACAATGACTATATTCCTTTCATTTATTTGAACAATCTGTAAGTGGCGGCGTAGAAAATAAGACTGCCAGCAATCAACCCATAACTAAGACAAGTAAATAAGACTGCCAGCAATCAACCCATAATTAAGACAAGTAAATAAGACTGCCAGCAATCAACCCATAACTAAGACAAGTAAATAAGCTTAAGTGAGACTTGCTAAATTAAGACATTAAGTAATTAGTCTGTCCCAAAGCATACGAAATGTTCTCCTTTTTGAGGTTCTCAAAATTTATTTGAGCTTTCCAAGAAATCACTTATTGTTTAAGTAATTATAAATGTGAGTAATGTACACACAGATAATTCATAAGTAAAAAAAGAAACCTTTATGGGCATTCTATTTTACTGATTGTGTATAAATGTAACCTAGTAGATGCTACAAAAATGAAAGAAACATTTTACAATTTTATTATTTCTCATTAAAGGCTGACCTACATGTACTTACAAATCATAACTTTTGGTTAAATATTCGATGATTTTGTCCTTTTGTCGAGTTATTTTACATCACTGGACCACTTTTAAATAAATTGATCATAATATAGTTTTACTCTTCATAAAAAAGATATTAACTCCTGTAAAGGAGAAACTTCATATTGTTCTCCAACATTTTTTAGAAGTGGTGTAAATCAAATGTGGATTTTCAAACACTCCAAAGAACTTTTAGAAAATTTAAAATGACATTCTTTCAGAAGTCAGTAACATCAAAACGTATGCCTTTTATTTAATTTTTCCTTTAAACAACCAGTCCTCACGATAAATTAAAAACTAGGTTCTTGATATCATAGAAAATTGCTTTTTCATTAAAAGGCAACTCAGAAATTTTCATTTTACAAATTATCTTGTGATTGCTGCTGAAATATGAAGATGAAATATGAAGATAATGAACAGTATTCAATCTCTAAAGTCCAATGAAACGATACAAATTTGGAGCAGAGCAAACATGGACCTCAAAATTTACAGGTGGGATCAGGTGCCATGGAAGAGTGAGCATCCCCTGCCGACCGGTCACACCCGCCGTGTGCTCCTTGCCATGATCGGGAAAAAAACGGGAAAATCCGTAGACAGTTCAGTGTATAAATAATGGCCTAACAATTAGTGTGAAAAACGTCAGTCAGCATTTGACTCAATGATAGCTTGTATGTGCTGACAAATTCATTGTATCCACCTTAAAACTTGCTAAAAGATGACTTCAAAAGAGACTGTTGATATCCTTGTTTCATCAACTTGGTTGTCAATGACTGGACTCGTTTTAGAAATTGTTCATACGTAGAGCATGCTCTTGCGTATCGAATCACATGAGAGACATAAACCCCAGATGCAGGTGATAAGGGTACATTGCAACATAAGTAAGGGAAGTTGACGATTGAAAATTTAAAGTCATCACGTTTATCAAAATTGTTGTCAAGTTTCCATTTACGTCTTTTTCTAGTAAAATATCTAAATATGAAACAGATGCATCAGAATCTGTGGTGTCTTTTATTTCGAGCTCAAAAGTCCATTTTTGCAATACAAAGTTAGAGCAGAGCAAACATGGGCTTCTAAAAACATCAGAGGTGGGATCAGGTGCCATGGAGGAGTATGTGCCCTCTGTCAACCGGTCACACCCGGCATGTGCTCCTTGTCATCATCGGGCACACGGAAAAATCCGTAGACAATTCAGTGTGAAAATAATGGTCTCTCAATTTATATGAAAAATGTCAGTCAACATTCGACTTAATGGTAGATTATATTTGTTGACAAGGTCATTGTTTCGACCATAGAACTTGCCAAATGTTGACTTTAAACGAGACTGTTGATATTCTTGTTTTATCAAATTATTTGTCAATAGCTTGCCCTGCCTCAGAAACTGTTCGTACGTAGAGTATACTCTAGCGTATCGAATCAGCCGGGATACTTAAACTCAATGTGCAGGTGTTAACTGGAAGAGATTTTTGGAAGAAAAAAATTTAAAATTAGAGACATTCATTTCGTGCAAAATCATTGAGAAAATCTTGGAAATCGATACATTCGACTTTTCCTTAAATTCTTAAAAGACAGCGTAAATGCAAATTACTCACTTTTTCTCTGCCAGTTAAACAATGATCTCACTTATCATTTTATATATAGATGTGTCTTTTCCTGTCATATTCATCATTTTTAGGTCACCTGAGTCACTCAGGTGACCTATTGCTATCTGTTTTTGTCCGTTGTCCATCGGTCGTAAACTTTTGAACATTTTCAACATTATCTCTTGAACTGCTGAACTAATTTCAATTTGGCATATAGCATCAGTTGATAAAGGGGTACAAAAATTTTCATGGTCCCTGCACACACCCCCCCCCCCCGCGGCCTAAGGGGAACATGGGGCTAAAATCATCAAAATCAGAGCTATCTTTTAAAATCTTCTTTACTCCTGGACATGAAGCAGTCAAATTGTTGGCATGATTGTAATAAGTATTGAGCCTTCTACAAAAATTATGAAATTCATGGCCCCAGGGTCAGGGGTTCTGGAGTTAGGACGGGGTTCTAATGATCATATAGTGAAAATGCTTGAATTCTTTTAAAATCCCCCCCCCCCTCTTGTATATCTACATTATTAATTTGATGCAGGATTATGATGAGCAAGGATGCCTCTTTCAAAATATAGAAATTTGTGGCCTCAGGGTCAGGGGTTCTGGTGTTAGGGCGGGGCTCTAATGATCATATATTGAAAATCGCAGCTCTGTTAAGGCTGCATAAAGGGGGCGGGGCCTAATTTATACGGGAAAAGTTTACTGTGACATCACACAAATATAGCAATTCCTCACAATAACAGAAAATGAAATAATTTGCGAATCTAAACTGCATAAGAGTAATGAACTACATCAAAACTTACCACTGCATTCATTTTTTTCGCTAGTTAAATCCCACACAGCAAGATATAAACAAGTCACTGATCGCAATGCACTTGTCGACATGACGTCATCATGGTAAAGTTTGACGCATTTTATGTGCAGTGAGAGGCGGATCAAGTAATTTTTTCACAGTGAAAAATGCATTTTATTATTAAACAGAATATTATTTGCAAATCATAGGTAGACCATTTATACAAATCTGAAACGTTTGTTTAGTGCCATTATATAAAAAATATCGAGAGAATGTTTTGAATTAATTCTACCGTGTTTTTGTCTACAGGGTGTGCATGTTTCACTCCGAGGTGCTTCATTAAATCGCCTTTTCGCAAGGGCATACACTTAATAGATCTTGGCCATTTTTTGAATACACATAACGGACTTATTCCTTAACTTGAAAAGTGCTGCTGCTTTCCTGAAATCGATAGCATAATTTAATGAATACATAAAATACTTGGTAAAGGTCACACATATTTCGACATTAGTTAACTTGAAATTTAAACTAATAAAATGCGAATTCTATTTAAAGCAGCAGCACTTTTCATTAACTACAAGTTATGTAGAAACAATCCATTACTTTAATTCTTAATTTTAACTAGGGTATGCCCTTGCGATATTGAAATTTGTTTGTGACCTACATACAGTACACATTACATGCATTTATCACGTGACTATCAAATAACGTGACCAAACCGAATTTAGTACAGAGTGGGGTATACAATGTAATTTCAAAGAATGTTAAATTCATAAGATAATATAATACCTTTACAAAAATAAATTCAGTTTAAAAAGGTATGTATTTATACACATTCATATTCTGTTGATTTCTTTGAAGTACGCCTTAACAGTGCTGCGATGCATAAATTCTTTAAAAACCTTATCTACCCCTGTATATTTAGCACATAACTCAAATGGTTATAAAGAGGCGACCCGGAGTTTCCGCAGAGATATTGTGGACATACATGTAGTTCCAAAATATGACTAATTTAGTTCTATTTTACCAGAACCCAGCACTTGGGTCATTAATTTCACGGTCTTTGAAGAGGGATTATTACAAACATGTATAATAATCATGCCAGTGGCGGATACAGGATTCTTAAAGGGGTGGGGGAACCAGTTGGTGATCGGGATGGGGGCCCAGGGGCCTAGGGGGGGGGGGTGTTTTTTGTTTTTTTATAAACGGTCTTTTGACTTATTTTAGCTATATTTTAGGTATAATTACTGCAATGTCCCACATCAAAAAAAAAAAAAAAGATTAATTAAACTTATATATTTGGGCACAAAAAAGGGGCCGGGCCCCCTCGGTTCCCTCTAAGTCCGCCAGTGCATGCTATATTCTCAATTTATATTCAATCCACTCAGCCTAACTATGGGGTCTGAATCCTTACCCAAGAGATAATTTTTTTTTGTTTTTGTTTTTTTTAATTTTATGCAGAGGACAGAATTATATTCATACAAGCAGTCTGTTTGAAAGGTTAGGGAAAAGATATGCAAATGTTAGATTGACTTAGATCTACCGTTTGACTTTAGCTTAAACAAAGTTTGCTGCTTGGTTTCCAGGATAAGAGAGAATTTATTTAGTCAGATATATCTAGGATATATTCATGTAATATATATGTATCATGTGTTATCCCACAATCAAAAAAAAAAAATCTTTAAAAATGGATTTATTTCTTTGAGTGATTTTATTTTATTTTGATAAATAAAGATGAAATAAAAGAAATTTGTTTTGATTCTGTAAAGTGAATAAATATTTATTTTTTTCATTTCATACTTTTCGGACTTTGTGTGTAAATTGTTATAGAAACTTTTCGTTTATTTCGGCAATAGTGATAAATTTCATAAATTCCGCAGAGCCTTAATCCCACCCCAGGCACAGTCAGAGATAGACAGTTAATCTCTTAATTGACTTCTATATATTTATTGACACTTA